AACAAGGAGACCCACATTTTCATTCTGCCCTGGGCCCGGCAAATCCTGCAGCTGGTCTTGTTAAGACACCTGACATGGAGCGGGGAACAAGAGAACTAAGAAATAAAATCAGAGTGGTGAGTCATGCTGTCCACCAGCTTTCTCTATATGCCGAGTTCTCAACTTTAACCTCATGATCTTTAATGGACAGTATCGCCTTGTTAGACTATGGCGCCATCTCGTAGTAACGAGTGTGAACTCAGACCCAGAGCCGCAACAATAGGGTTCAAAACCTAATTTTACAATGATTCAGTCATGGCAACTCTGGGCAGATTCCTGAATTGCTCTATGCCCTGTTTGCTCACCCATAAGATGGCAAAGCAGATCACATTTGCTTCTTAAAACATCCCCAGAGGGACACTGTGAAAATCAAATGAGAAAATGAGTACACTGTGCCCAGCAGGTAGTGAGTGCTTGGTGAATGTCAACTTTAAATACGTAAGGTTACACATTCGTCCACTTATACCCAGAGCAGAAAAGTTGTCCCAGAGAAGGATCTGTGTTTGGAGCACTCTCCCCCTTTATTACCTCTCATTGTAACTGCTGGTTTAAATGTTTGCTTTGCTGTTATATATTTGTAATAGTAGGTGCCTCAGCTTTTGATCTGACATTCAAAGGGAGCAGGATTTTGTGGTATAAAAGACTGGGGGTGGGTGGGGCTATGAAGAAATGCTCTGTAAACGGGGCCAGGTGAGCTGAACTCAGTTCCGATGTCATTGTGTTAGCAAATAGGACCTGGCCCCTGTAATGTGGTCATCTTTAAAGTTTTCGTTTTCTTTCTGTTATAGAGAGTTGGGGAGAGGTTGGAGTGCTTGTGATCATTTGCTTAGTAAAGTCTCCTTTGACAGATTATTTCAAGGGGTAGAGATTTACCTTCTCCTGGACCAGGATGGCTGGAGGGTCAGAGGAAGCACAGATGTCAGAGAAAACGTGGCAGTAATTGCGGTCCTGACCCCTTCCCACCAGCACCAACCCCCTCGTCCTCTGTGGCTAGAGGAAGAGTAGGATCGGCTAGCCAGAAAGATTGATTCAGTCAGCACCTGAGGTCTTCTCTCAAGGGATAATTTCTAAGTCCACTCCCCCACCCCAACAATCTATGCAAAATAAAAATTTTAAATCCTTCAATTCTCCCTCATTATAGGACTTAAGGCCTCAGTCTCATTCTCTTTGCCAGTAAAAATTCTTAGGCCGGACAGAGGCCATCTTGAAGGATGTGAATGTCAGTCCCGCCCAGGAAGTTACCTGAGGAGTCAGGCTGATGAAGCTCCAAAGGTGCCAGGCGGCCGTGCATTACGCTTGATAGTCAACGTTATTCACAGGGAGACTCTAAGGCTGTTCATGTGGCTGACATACTTAGTGCTGAGAGGATCTTGAGTGATTTGGTGAGAATGTTTTAAAAGGCATTGTAAAGCTTTTTAGAAATAAATATGGCCAGTTTCTTATAGCACCTAAACTGCTAAATACTACCTGATGACGCTAGGGCAGCAGAGGTTTCAAAGTTTCCCAAATTAAAACACCCAAGCGAACACTTAATTGGTGTTAAAGGAAAAACCTGCTGACAGTTGGAAATTTTGGTGATGTAGCTTCCCTGTCCCCAGGCACTCAGGGCACTATCTATAGAAGATAAGTGACTCAGAGCTGCCCAGCCAAGTCCTGGTTCATGACATGCACCCATGCCAACACCATGTCACTGCCCCCAAAAGAAAAAAAAAAGAAACAACTCTGAGCAGCCAACCCTAACTACTCATTTCCCATTCTATCACCTCACTTTTTGGTGTGCTCCTGCTTCTCTTCAGGTTGTTCTACCAAGTTGGATCTCACACACTGTGTACCTTCAGAGCCAGATGTGTGACCCTATGGCCATTCTTGACCTGTGTCCATGATCACAGCATTCTGCTTAAAGACGCCTTCTAACCTGGCATAGAGAACACTGGGAGTGGCTCAAGTTCCACAAGACCAACCCAAATTTTCCTACTTCTCTCTCCCTTCTCAACCTAGAGTGACTTCTACTTTTTGCTCATTTTTAGCAGTGACCTGTTTCATGGGAGCGGAGTTACTCTGTTGTATAATCAAGACTCAGAGCAGACAGACTCCATCCCATGAGGAATGGCACAAGGAAACCCTGAGACCAAACTCGCTGTACACAAGGGCACTCCCCACCCTCGCTCCCTCTCCCAGGTCTTGGCACACATTGTTAAACTGTTTGCTAACATCCCCATCTGATTCCTCTGTTTCCTAGTTTGCCCCAGGTCCTTAGCTACATTAAAGCAAGGTTTGCATTTACCATGCTTTGAAATGATTAACTCTTCTTTCTCATTTTGAGCATTTGCTTGGCATGGAATCATACCATGCCTTGTTCTTCCACAAACACCTAATGGTACTACCGATTAATTAGCCCACTGAGGCAAGAACAATATGAGGAAGATGTACATAGATCCAACAGATCATCAAATGACCAGATTAGATTTAATTCGGCCTAGAATTCTTTACATACACCATTAGGAGTCTAAATCTGGCTTCAGAGCAAGCCATAAAACAGGTCATTTAAACAAAGGAATAGAAAAGCTAAGACATTACACACCGTTTGTGTGACATGATATGAGTAGTAAATTGTTGATCAAATTTCAGGTAGACTGGGGAGAGATTTTCAGCAAAATCAAAGAAGACAGCCCTCGGTCTGCCATGGAAGACCGCAGCCACCATCACTGTTGTCTGATCGTGAGAGGGCAGGCCCTGCAAAATGCTAAATGATGACCCCAAGACCCGCTCTTGTAAAACGGCCAGAATTGTTGGGGGCCCTGTTTGTGGTTCCCAGACTGCCGCACTCCCTTCAAGCCGAGCCACCTAGCTGGAGCAACCGAGTGGGGCGCAAGCAAGCCAATGAAAGCGCTGCGCCCAGCAGACAGCCCCAGCCCCGCCCCGCCCCAGCCCCACCTCATGGAGCTGCGGAATACCTTCAGGGAGGGACCTACGAGCACTGCCGAGGCCTCCTTGTTAGGACCTGTCACTTTCTGGGACTAAGTTGGCCAACACTGTGAGGGCTTCTCTCTTGAGGCTATAAGGGTAAAGTTAATTGCAACAGCTGTGGCTTAATGTGTCCCTAAGCACCTTGTTGATCTTGATGGTAATGCCAACAATGGAAAAAATAATATCAATATATCTAAAATGCTCAAGAATGTTTCCCCAAGGGAACATTCTGCGGGTTGTTGTTTTTTGCCTAATCATGCCAGGATCACATGAAAACCATGCCACTGAATTTTTAAACTTTTTAACAGTGGCATCTGATGGGCACATAATGAGTGTTTTGCAAAAATTGTTTCTGAGTATTTATTGATTTAATCTTTTTAAAATTAAGCTTATAATTTCTACAATAATAGTAAATACAAGTCACATGCTTTGAACTTAATATTGTGCATTAAAGTATTTCTAAGAGTTATATGTTTTCTGAGGTTTAATTTAATTAATCAAACAATTTAGGGTATTTTTTAATGTTTGTTCACTAATTGCAAAGTTTACAATTTTTAAGATACATAAAGCTAGCTGATCTACATGTAAGAACCCTAAGAGGCATAGGAAAAAAATCTACTGAAGCATTGGAGAAGAGGTCAAATGGATTCTGACTGAAATGCAAGTCTGTAAAATGAAAAGCAGAGAACTTTGAGGAAAGAATGGAGTAACTGTAAATAACAAGCAAAATTACGAGGATTCTTCTGAATAATTAGAAACATGAAATACTAATAACACCCAAGCTATAATCAGTGAGGAAGAATATAGCATAAGAAAAGTCTCCTATAAATAGGAACACAATATTGGAGAGAAATAGTAAGCATGCCAAGTAAAAACATGAAATTTTAACATCACAGAAATGTTTCACTAAATCCCTTGTACATCAGAGACTAGCCAGAAGCCTGCCAAACCCATTTTCCTCTGCCTGGAAATACAACACATTTCCCAGAATTCCTTGCAGTTTGCTGTGACTATGTGACTGACTTCTGCTCAATGGAAGGTGGGTCAGAAGTAATGTTCAGCACCCCAAGGTTTATCCCATAAGGCTTCCCATGCAATCTTCCATGCTCTTTCTCTTTTCTTTCATCTGTTAGACAAATGCTGAGGATCCAGGGGGAGATTTCAGGGCTCAAAGGTATGGTGAAACTGCTAGATGAAAGGTCCCTGTTAACCCAAGTTGGGATTCAAGGTAAATAAGAAATAAACCTCTATTGGATTAAACAACTGAGCTATGGGCTTATTAGATTAGCCCAACTAGTATGCATTCTTTAGACTGATGAGCACAAGATACATCCAAAGCAAAGTTGACAGAGTACATATACTGGGGCACAACTCTGTTATCATCACTGGTGCAAGATTACTCTACCTCTAGTATTTAGCTAACAGCAATCTTAGGCTGTTCTTGTGAAGGTTTGATTCTGGAGCCCCTGAACATCTTGGACTAGTGAAGAACAAGTGTCTTCATATTTAGAATAAGTCTAATAAACTAATAAAAGATTAAGTGAATGAATGAATGAGTGGCTATTAACAACAGTTAAGTATACCAGGTACAGCTATATATTTTTAACAATCATAAGAAAACCTTTTATTTAATAACACAGAAGAAAGAAACACCAAATATTATTGTAGACCATCTACTCTCTCCAGTGGGAATTTTATCCCCATGACTTAAAACAATTATAATCTGTGTGTGGATGATGATCAAATCTCTATCTCCAGCCCAGATCTCTATCTGTAGCCCAGATTCTTCTCCTCAAAATTCAAACCATATATGCTTTCCAGAAATTTTCACTTGTGCTCCCAACATAATAGGCATTCAAACGAATGAGTCATTGAGCTACAAAGGACTAACAGAAATGACTGGAGACTGTTGGCTATCTTCTCAGCATCAACTCCCTTCACCCTCTTTTCCTTCCAAAGAAAACCCAGAAAATCCAAAGAAAAACCAAGCTTACCTGACTCCAATTCCAGGGCTGGGCTAAGATTTGGGCTATTACCTAATTGGTTTAGGAGTAGGCATGTGCCAATGAGATGTGAAGAGTTGTCTGCTGGGAAGGTTCTGGAGTTTCCTTACTCCTTAGAGAGAACTACAAGAAAAGACAAGAAAAGAAAAAGAAAAGTCACAAGAAAAAGCCAGTATAGAGTAGAGCCCAGAGATTAAGTGCATGTATTCTTGTGCCAGAATAACTGGATTTGAATCTACCACTTACCAAATTGTATAATATTCGACAAGCCTTTCAGTGCCTCAGTTTTCTCATCTGTGAAAGATGTTATGAGAATGAAAAATGAGTTAATGTATGCAAAATGCTGATTCACAGTAAGCACTCTATAACTGCTACTTATTATTATTTTGTCCTGGATGCATTGCTTGAAATGCCGGAGGGCACCATCGTGCTATAAGCCTGAGGAAATCAATTAACTCCAAGGATGCAAAGAGAATTTGAAGTAAATTTCTTCAAAATTCATTTAAGCAAAGACACAGAAAGAACTTGGATTCCCCAATGATGTGGTTGAACTTTGTAATCAACCCCTTTACTCTGTTGAACATCCTATTATAAATCTTATTGTTCAGATTAGGTTTTGTGGCATTTGCAACTTGACACATCAACTAGTACAGAATTTTCAGAACTTTTGAAATCATGGAATCTTTGAAAAAATTTTTAATAAGTAACATAAAACTAATTTTCCTTAATAAAAACATGGAAGCATTTCCGATGAACTTTGAAGTCCTTTCTGATTAAGTACCCCACCCCTCCACCCTGACCCACTTCTTTCTCCCACCAAGAGGTAACCATAATTACATCTTTTATATGTGTTCTTCCCTGATTTTTTCTTTTATTTATATAAAAACTTCTGTACACAGAGAAAATGCATAGCATCATTTTGTGTGTGTGTGTGTGTGTTAACATAAGTGCTTTTATATTGTTCTACACACCTTTCTGCACAGTTGCTTTTTCAGTCTACAAAACATTTTAGAGAGCTAGCTATATTAGAATATAAACTGACCTCATTCTTTGTAACAGTTACAAAGCATTTCAAAATGTTAATATTCCTTAGCTTATTTAGCCAGCCACCAGTTGAGGGACTTTTAGGTTCAATTCAGTTTTGTTTTAATTTATGTTTTGTAACCATAGACAATGCTACCACATATGTCCTCAAATCTGTCTGCTTGTCAACATCATCAGGTTCATAAAAGCTTAGGTCGTCAAAAATTTTTAGTGAACAAAAATTTATGTTACCTTTATTGATGTGAAATATTCTCTTTAATCCTTCAAATTTTTTGTCTAATCTCTTTTCACCTTCAATTCTATTTTGTCTGATATGGGTACTGCTCTACTCTCTGTTAGCATTAGTAAGTTTTTTCCATTTCTGTGTTTTCACCTTTTCTGTGCCATTTTGCTGTAAGATTTTTCTTGAAAAAAAAATCTGAATATTTAAAACTCCAACCTGACTATATCTGATTTTCAATGCAGTGTGGACTTTTTTCCCGATACGTTTTCTACCAATCATACAGTCTTGGTAGAGAGACAGAAATATCTGGTGTTCATTCCACCATCCTAAAACCACAAGTTGTATAAACCATGAAATGTGCATATATTTAAAATTTTTATGTAAACTTTTATCAAGTATCAAAAGTTATGGTCATACACATATGTATTAAAATGGTGCTAGAGTACATTTTATGCTTTTGTGTAGGAAGAATTTCAAAGCAAGTGGATTATTAATGAAATTCTCAAGATAGTGACATTGGGATGATAGCTTTGGTGGTTCTACTAAGAGCTTCTCTTTTTTGCAAAGATTTTATTCATGAGTTAATAAATTACACCCTTAATTTCACTGACCATTAACAAAATTAAACCATTAATGAAGTGAAACTTAAATTCATTTATTTGAACTTCATTCAAATAAATGAAATAAATTTACCAAAAGGTAAAAAATTCCAACCACTGGTTTTCCTTAAATTTTGGTACACTTAGTAAAAAGTGTGCTACTAAAGAGTGAATATACGAGTGTCATTTGACAATACACAAAAGAACAGCACCTGAGTTCAGAAATGACATCATCTCACAAGTTTGAACCATGAAAAGAATTCACAATTTCACAAAACCCTCAAGGCCTGGTTTCCATTTGGAAAAAATTTCTAAGCACCCACCGCTTTTACAGAACAGTTAGGAAACTCTTCATTTGTCTTCATTATTTTCAAACTATCTTTAGCAGGGTCCTTGTGTCTCATTCAGTGATCTCTGGGGCTTCCTGGGGAGGGAAGGGATGGGAGGGGGCAAGAACGGCTTTGGGCATGCCCTCACTTCAACATAACCACCACCACTTTTCATCTGTCTTCTGTAAGGTTTCACTTGAAAAACTGATTCTGCTACCAAAAACAGAAATCTTCTGGTCTACCATTCTATCCTCAATAAAACTAATCCTAAATCCTTTACAGCCTTATACAATGTGTTCATTTTTAAGCGACATCAGAAAAAGGCATTTCTTTTGGTCCCAATGATGCCTACTTCTTGGAGGGAAATTCAGTAATATTTCCAGCTCAGTCCCTTTCCATGCAGCTGTCAAGGGTCACGCATATTCGTGGCATAACCCTGATGCATTTGAAGATGATTATTTAGCTACTCCTCAGTCTTCCCTGCTTCAGGCCAAAATCAATCCTCTCTGTTTTAATCCCTTTATACAGATCTCACTTCCCAACATTTAAGTCAACTGTGTACATTCCTCTTCTCTCTGAAACATCTCCAAACTTCTCATCTCCCTTTCCAATTACTAAAGGGGCAATTACACACCCTAAAGCTGAGCATGTTAGGAAGGGAAAGCCAGCCTTCTACTTAGCTCTTTTGGGTTTTAATTTGGTTCTTCAAGATCACCTTAGTGATGGTGGTGGGTTAAAGATGGTAACAAATTCTTTGATATGCTTCCCACTGATGTGTGATTCATTTCTTCTCTTCATCTGGATTTGGGCTGGCCTGTGACTAGCAAAGTGACCAACACAGAATGGCAGAAGTGGTGCTATGCCAGGTTTGGGCCTAAACTTTCACAGGACTGGCAACTTTCACTTTGACCTCTAGGAATAATGCTCTGGCAGAAGCCAGCCGCCAGTGAAAAAAGGCAGGCTGTCCTGAGAACACCATGCTGTAAGGCAGCCCAAGCTGTCATGTGGACATGGGACATGAGCAATGATGCCCGGTCATCCCGAGCTCTCCAGCCATGTCAACCCATCACATAGTGAGATACAATAATGAATTGTTGTGCTATGTGCTAACTTTCCAGGTCATTTATTGTACAACAAGGTGACAAGAATGATGGTTTGTTTTTTTTGTTTTCCCTGTGATTTGCTCTTCTTTTTGCCTCACAGCAATCTTCCTGGATGCTGGCATTAGCTAAGGCCGTACAACCAAAGCCAGTCATCTGAAGGGGTCCAACATGAATGAGCCCTACCTTATCTATCAACAGAAGTCATGATTTCCTCTGCTTACCCTCCAGTGTTCTTGTTTTTATGTCTTTTTAAAATCTTTTTTCAAGAAGAATACCCCAATAGTCCCCATCAGAGAACTTCTCTGTGAATATATATTCTGCTGCCATCTTCCCTTAAAATGTTGTTTCTTTTGTCCAGTTCACAGCTTATTTATTGTTCAAATCCTGTGATGTAGTAGGTGAAGGTACAAGATGGAACACATTCTGACTTAAAACAATAGGCTTGTGTTATTTGGTATTAGTAAGGATTTTTAATTCTGTGAAGTAAATCTGTAAGTTACGGGTTTTCCTGGGTTACAAAGGAAACTATGGCTGGGAAATGATGCTGCCAGTTTAAAACCCAGGTTTTTTTTAGCTAATCCCCATAGGTTAGAAGATACTGCCAACAAAAGCAGGGAATTTGCACCATCTTTAAATTAGCTCTATTTAAATTACATCCTTGTACAGAACCATTCATTTTTACAAGGAGGTATAATAAGAACCCTTCCAATCCTAAATGACTTGAAACAGGGACACCCAGGTGCTGAAGTCAGCACTTCACAGGGCAGTGGTGTTTCTTATACCCTAAAAGAGCAAATTACATAGGTCAAATTTATATGTTCAAAGTTCCCCTCCATATACATTATCTGAGAGTCCGGTTTGGAGATAACCTGTCATAGAAATGACAACTCAAAGTTCAAAACCCAAACATTGAACTCTCCCACAAGTCTTAAAATGAGACTGATTTAGGGAATTAGTTGCTCAGATGGAGTAGAACATGAGACCCACAGGGTACCGGATGCTCTGTCACCTCTTAGAGAGAGTTGCCTGGATCTGCCTGCCTGAATAAAGTGACTAACTGCTGAAAGAAAGAAAAATGGCACATGGTATTATCAATGCTCAGTTATAGTTGGCAGTATCAGAAATATCTATTGCAAGTACTTTTTTAGTTTATCATTTGCCTTATAATTTATTTGTTTTTTAACTGACAGAAGTTCAACTTTTTTTTTTTAAGTTGGGTCAAACATATTGACCTTTTTCTCTGGAGATCCATCTTTGATATCATTTAGACCTCAGTCACCAAACATGGAGTAACCCCTCTATGTACGTCTATTTGGGCTGCTACGACAAAACAACACAAACTGAGTGGCTTACAAACAGCAGAAATTTATTTCTCACAGTTTGATATTGGGAAGCCCAAGGTCAAGATGCCGGCAGATTCTGTATCTGGTAAAGGCCTGCTTTGAGGTTCATAGACGATGCCTTCTCACTATGTCTGCAGATAGAGGGAGCTCTCTGGGGCCTCTGTTGTAAGGACACTAATCC